GGGGCCACTGGGGGGCACTGGCTTGTCACTGGGGAGCACTGGGATGTGCTGGGGGGCACTGGGAGTGCAGCGGAGGGCACTGGGAGGGAACTGGGGAACTGGTGGTGGAGGGAGAGAGAGTGGAAGGTACTGGGAGGACACTGGGAGGCCCCAGGAGGCACTGGGAGGGCACTGGGGAGTACTGGGAAGGAGCCGGAGGTGAACTGGGGACACTGGGAGGCAGTGGGAGCATACTGGTGTGAGTGGGAGGGTAAGAGGAAGCGTTGGGAGGCAACAGACGGCATGGAACCGGTACTGGGAGGGAGCTGTGGGTGGACTGGGGGAACTGGGAGGCAGTGGGCATGTACTGGTGTGGGTAAGAGGGAAAAAGAAGGTACTGGGGAAGGCTACCGGGGGGCACTGGGAGGTACTGGGAGCACTGGAGGGGTGTGGAAGGGAATGAGGACACAAGAGGGCACTGGGAGGGAGCTGGAGGTGAACTGGGGGCACTGGGAGCACACTGGTGGCACGTGGGAAGCGATGGGGAAGCACTGGGAGACACTGAGGGTGTACTGGGAGGGAACTGGAAGGTGCTGAGGGTGTACTGGGAGGGAACTGGGGGCACTGGGAGGTGCCGGGAGGGAGCTGGAGTCTACTGGAAAAACTTGGCAGGCAGAAGGAGGAAGTGTGTGATACTGGGAGGCACTGGGAGGCACTGGGGGCCAGGGAGGGAGAGTGAGGCGGTGTTGGGAAAGAACTGGGAGGCACTGGGAGGGCACTGGTAGGCAGTGGGTGGGAAGCGGTAGGTCACTGGGGACACTGGGAGGGAGAGGGAGAACTGGGAGGACACGGGGGGTGACATGGGGACGTGCTGGGTGGCCCAGGAGAACCTCTAGAAGTGAACTGGGAAGGAACTGGGAGGCACTGGGAGGCACTGGGAGGGCACTGGGAGACACTGGTAGGCAGTGGGTGGGAAACGGTAGGTCACTGGGGACACTGGGAGGGAGAGGGAGAACTGGGAGGACATGGTGGTGACATGGGGAGGTGGTGGGTGGTCCAGGAGAACCTCTAGGAGGGAACTGGGAGGGAACTGGGAGGGAACTGGGGGGCGCTGGGAGGGCACGTGTTGATGCCGAACCCCATCTCTGCTCCCGCAGCGGCCGTGGGGGACGAGAACCGGATCGTGGGGGGCCGGCGCTGCCAGAAGAAGCGTCATCCCTACCAGGTGGTCCTCCTTGGTCCTCAGAAGAACATCCACTGTGGTGGGGTCCTCATCGGCCAATCCTGGGTGCTGACGGCCGCCCCCTGTGAC